GTGTGAAGTAGTGCATAAAACACCACTTTATGGGAAAAATAATTATATAATTCATATGAATAAATTGTATATTTATAAGAAATAAGTAAAACTATTATTTGCCGATTTTGCATACTAATGTATTTCTGCATCACAATTATAACGCTCGTATTTACTATAACTGTTATTGAATTCTAAATAAAAACTCATAAAATACTTTTAGCACGTAATAATACTATTTACTATCCAATAAAATGAAATTGCAATTTTACCGCCAAAGTGTGTATTTGTAAGTGGCGCGCCAAGCTGTCAAATTATTTAATTTAAAAAGTGAAATGTCATATCATGAAAGTTTGCGTTCAAAAACCAACACAGATATTTTTAGCACCTAATAAAAGTAAAAAGWACTGTGTTTGAGTTACCGTTTAGAAATCATGCAAAGAAGAAAACACTGATGTATATATACATCATCATGCCTTTAAGGGTTAATTTAAAGGGCCTTAGGTGCTTAGTCTGAACATGAAAAACGCCATTTTGGCATATAATTTATGGGTTAATTGGATTGGCTTTCGTGTTGGTAATAATTCGAAATAAGGCCGATATTACTCGCGCAGCTTTTTTTGTAGTTGAGGTGATGGCTGTCATATAATTGTATAGCCGTCGATGCAGTTAGCCAGTTTTTAACATTTTGGTATGTAGATTCACATGTATTTTGGGTTTGATGCAACTTCTTGACTGCTATTGTCATAAGAATGTCGTCCGCGTGTCCGATTATTTTAGCCTCTTTCGGTAGAGGAAGCATTGGGCCAAAACTGGTTCTTGTGATACCCGCAATAAATATGGCGGTGTTGTGAGATTTTGTAATGCTTTTGTTATGTGTGTACATCAAATGTGATAATTGAGATCTTCAACTGTTTGGTTTGGCTTCTGTAACAAGACCAAATGCTGTTGTTTCAATGCTTTTTGGAAAAGATCAACGATTAAGCACTTTGTTTATAATTTTGTAAAGCGTTTGGGATGCCATCCTACCCCGGTGATTTCGCATTTCCAAAACGTCCAGCAGCCTTTATGACCTCCATGTGGATAAGCATAGGCAAAGCTATAAGTGCAGATTCTTCGGTTAAAAACCGATCTTCTTCATGCATGTCCTGCGTAGGAAAAACTGTTTCCAAAACATTTTTTAGAAGAACAAGGCCGGTCCGCGTTGCCCTTTGGGACCTCGAACGTTGGGCATGACTAACTTTTCATCGATTTTATTACAAAGCTTCTTGAATCTCGTTTTACCATTTTATAGCTTTTTTAAGATCCTTGCGCTTGGAGGACTGGTTCTTTACGACAGTCCTTTCCAAAGTGATCAGCTTCTCCGCATTTAATGCAGCATTTGCTACTATCTTCAGGATTGTACATGTTTTTGCGACATGCCCGAAATCGAAGCATCAATAACACTTTCTAATTTAGCTTTTTCTCGTTTTGTGCTTTACTGTCACCTAAGCTTCATCTCTCGGTGTTTCCTCCCTCCTTAGATTAATCGAACTTCCACATGTCCACTTTACTTTGTCCGATTATTTTGGCATTCCTTCTCCATTCGACCTGTTGAACTTTTTTGGTGAGGTCTTTCGAATCGAATTCGGTGAGGCCATAACGTAACCTTTTCGGTGTGGACAGCACTCAGTAAGACCTGATTTTATGGACCAGAGGTTTTGTACACTCGCATGCAGCTTCGGGATRCTGCTAAGGAGCTCCCTCATGGGGTTATTTATAGAGCGCTGTAGGGGACTCGTCATACTTACTTACTTCTTTATATTTTCTCCCAGTTAGAGCATATAATGTGCCACACATAAATTTTTCCCCCCTCAGTGTCAAGATTTCCTGTTGCAGCTCGGGCGATCGAGCTAACTTTGGTGCTCGCCTAAATGGATTAATTTCTTCTCATTTGCTTATAGTTGTAATTTTATCTGATAGAATCCCAGCCTTGCAGTAGCTGGTTATCAACTCTCGGGGTTTTACACCCTGCACCGTAACTTTGAATTTGTCTAGCATGTTCGCCACGTGTCATTTTATTATTCAACCTTATCGGGAACTGCGCGTGAATAAATCATTCCCATACATTTTTATTTTCACACAAACGAAAAATTCGTATTACGAATTTCGCGTGAATGAAGACATTTGTTCGAATTTCGATTAAACTATTGTGAACCACGGTAGTCTATCACCGATGTTTTCGTTTTGACTTTGCCATATCTAAAATCTAAAAATTTAAATTGTTAGCTTTAATCCTTGTTAAAAAGGCAATTGCATTTCGCTCCTAAAAAAGCCTCACAAATTATTCAGCCTTTTCGTGAATTTCGCGTGAACGCAGAAAAAACGAAAAAATTCCCAAATTTATCTTTTTTTTATCGTGAACTTCACCTGGGAAGTAATTCCCATATTCGAAAATGTTCCCCAACAGGAAATGTATTATTTTTTTTCATGTGAAATCATAAAATTTGTTCACAAAACCGTTGAGGGAGAACAAACTTACACTGAAATGTAAGTGTATTTTATTAACAAGTTTCTTAATCTAAAAAACTGTATTTATGAAATAAGGTCTATAATAAGGCCCAGTTAACATATTTGGTCAACTCTATATCGGAAAATCCTAACATAGGAAAAAGATTTCAGAAGGAGAATAAGGAACGTGTTAATACATATTGGAAGAAGTTGCATGAATCCCTCAACAGCATGGGGCCACCACTGAAATCAATTGCAGAATGGAAAAGGTAAACGATGATTGTCGACGATTGCTTAATGATCGCCCTTTCTAGCTGTTTTAATCCCAAATTCTTTAAACTTAATTTATTTTTTAACAGGATTGGATAGACCAGAAATGATATGTTCGGAAAAAGGCTGTCCAGAATGCGCCAAAAAAAAAAAAAAAAGACCGGCGGAGGACTGTGTAAAGAGTATACTTTCTCTGTTCTGGAATAGTCCATTTTGAATTTAACAGCGACAATGGAAAGCGTGAAAGGTATATATGGTGGCAGGGTTTTTGGTTTTTTGAATAATAGCGTTGACGGCAAAAGTATCATTAAAATACCAACGGAAAATATAAGTACAACGCCTGCTCACAAACCGAAACGACAAACACAGAAAACAACTAATACTTCTGAACTACCGAATATGGAACTGCAAATACAAAAAGAAATATGTGCTAACTTAAGTAAATTCGGAGTGAACACTAAATAGAAATACAGACAGAATTAAGGAATTTAAAAGAAGGCATTACTCATTTTCAAAGAAATCAAGTAATTTACTAACAGAAACAAAACGTCACACTGTACAGATTGAACGCTTCTGAAAACTAGAAATAGAAAATAAACGTACGCCTCAATACTACTACATTTTACGTTTGCGCTGCACAAACATTGCTATAGATTTTCGCTGCCATGTACGCTGAACAAATTTCTACTATTTTTTTTTTAAATTTACATTCAGGGAAAAAAATTATTGGCAAATTTGGAAAAAATATCAGAAATGTTTATTGAATTCTTTTTCTGTAATACTTGAAAATTTATAAAGTCGTTGCCTAAATGGCTCGTTTCGATAATACATCATCAATATTGATTCCCCCTTTATACTCCTAAATGCGTAGAAGATCGGAAAGACGTTGGTCAGAAAGCGTGTTTCTTTGCTTATTTTGAATTAATTTGAAAGTGGAAAATTCCCGTTCATCAGTTTCAAAAAAAAAAAATAATAATAAACATTTTAAAAATTCGAGGTGTTTCTGTCAGTGTACTAAATGCCGATTCTTTGTGTTGACCTAGCGTTGTTTTATATAAACCTCTTCGTTCTTTTTAATTTTTCTTTTTCTGTAATTAATGAATTTTATTTTCGTTATTTTAACACATTTTATTTAAATTTTATTGAAATTAAATGTAATTTGTGAATAAAATTAAATATACATACTTATTTTAAAGAAAGAACAACATGGTTTTTTTAATGAAAATATTAAATTTAAAAGTAAAATAATAAAGTATGTTTTCAAATTTATATTGAATTCCCAATAAAAGGCATCTGGCCTCATTTATATAGGAGGAGTTGGATTCAGTTTCATCAAACTGTATTGCTTCTATCGATCGTTAGAACACCATTTGTTCTCTCCACAACATGACGCGCGAGTTTAAGGTTTTGAACCCGAGTTCAATACTAAATTTTAAAATTTTTGTTAAACTTAAGTTTAATTCGTTAACCGGTAAGCATTGAACTTTAGTTAAAATATTCTTATTAATACTAAACTTCGGTTTAGCGAATCGCGAAGAGAAAAACACGACTTGTCATATTAACAGTCAAAATTCGTCTGCCAGTTTATTTCCAAATTTTGCTTACAAAAAACCCTCACTTACAAAAAACCCCTTACTAAGTTTTTTGTACATATCTCGGAAACTACTACATCTATGTCAACCAAACTGTATAGGGTCGTTTCTTTTAGGAATCTTCATATACAGTTCAAAAAAGGAAGAAATCGGATAATAACCACGCCCACCTCCCATACAAAGGTTATGTTGAAAATCACTAAAAGTTTGTTAACCGACGAACAAAAAACGTCAGAAACACTAAATTTTACGGAAGAAATGGCAGAAGGAAGCTGCACCCAGGCTTTTTTTTTTTTAATTGAAAGTGGGTATGGCGTCGTCCACTTATGGACCAAAAACCATGGCTAAGGATCTACTCGACCGATTTCAATGAAATTCGGTATATAATATTTTCTTAACATGATGACATGTACGAAATATGGGTGAAATCGGTTCACAACCACGCCTTCCTCCAATACAACGCTTCTCTGTATAATATATACATTAGGAACCAATGATGAAAGCGGAATAAAACTTAACACAAAGACGGTATTTGAGCTGAGGTATCCCTTGTGGAAAAATTGTCGTGATCGGACTATCACTTTTCAAGGTCCCTGATATCGAACACGAAGAACTCAGTCACCGAAAATATCGGTAAATCTCTCAGCTGTTTTCATGTAATTCAGAGGGCATCTTTTTTATACTCTCGCAATAAAGTTACTAATAACGGTATATATCGTCAGATATATGGTTACATTTACCAAAGAGATCAGGGTGACGAGTAGAGTTTAAATCCGGAAGCCTGTCTATCCGTCCGTGCAAGCTGTAACTTGAGTAAAAATTGAGATATCTTGATGAAACTTGTCATGCGAGAGTATAAAATGTTCGGTGACACCCGAACTTAGCCCTTCCTTACTTGTTTTTATTTATAAATGTAATGTTGTCTAAATCGCTTGTTAATATAATACAATGGTGTTTTTAATTATTTTACTTTTTCTTGAAAATGTTTTATTATTAATTATAATGCTATAATTATCAGAATGTATTAAATACAGAGGTGTTGTGATATCCAAGACAGAATTCCTTAGCTGTAAGAATTGCAAACAAATTCCGATTTTCAATGGGGTCACAGAATCTGTTTGCATTTTCGTCTTTTCGAAGAATTAAAGAAAGATTTTAAGAGATAACATTTATCGAATGAATAAAGATTTATTACGTTTTGTAAATCTTCTTTAAGGGGAAAACCTGCATTAGAAGCTTCAAAAAATCTGTTTTTTGTTTTGCTTAAATCTCTTTAAAAATTATATAAGTTGTTATAGATGGGAACTCGAAATATTGTCGAAGCTAGAAGTGAAATAGTGACCGAGCGTTTCGCAGATATGTATACTATATGAACGCTTGGGCATAAGGCGAAAACTTTTACGTGCGATTTCTCGGTTTTTAATTTTTACGATTGTTTTTATTTGGCAGGCAGGATAGAAAAAAACTAAACGTCCTATGGAATTTATTATGTTAGTAACTTACTTTACCAACGTCTTTTATCAACCGGGTACCGGGGTACACACGATCTGAGTATTCAAAATTTTGTTTGTTTTATTAAAAAATTCTTCAAATGTTAATAGTCGGTGACAATTTAAAGAAAAAAAATAACAACGTAGAATAGTGAATGACATCTGAAACCTATTTGGGACACCCCAGATAGTCGCTTTTATTGTTCGGAGCCGAGCAGATGCCGTTCGAGAGAGAAACAAAAACTCAATGTTATTTCTTTGTTTTCTATAGCGCACTAGATTCGAGCATTTTTTAGTACGTAACAGATATTTGGTGGGATCAGACGTGTTTCATTTGGTGTTCTCTTGACAGTGAAAAAAAAAGCTATGGAACAATTATGAAGAGCTGACTATGCTCCGTAAGTAAACGTTACATATACTTAACATTTTTAAATATTTTAATTACAATTATGTGTAATATAATGTACGACGTATATCACATAATATTTCATTTAAAATAGTAAAATATTTGTTCTTAGCAATGATTGAAATAATAATTATTTTTCTTAAATAATTAATAAATGTTGTTATTATTATTTTACGAAGAGCTCAAGAACCATCTGGGAGTTTTATTGCCAAAGATAAAACAGTGTGGAGCAAAATTCCACCAACTCAGCATCAGACCGCAGCTCATAATGTTGTACGCCAGCGGAGTAGGCCTCATCACAGTACGGGAACGTTGTCAATTAGCGAGACTTTCAAAAAAATGTTTACATACGAAATGGTTGACATAATCGTCCGTCACACTAATAGAAAAGCTGAAAATTTTTCCAAGAGTACAATGCTAACCATCCAAACTCACAGCATCAATGGAAGCCCGTTACGACAAGATTTCATAATATTCTGCGTTTTTTGCGATTCGACGATGGTAATACCCGAAGTGAACGTAAAAAAGAAGACAAGGCAGCTCCAATTCATGATGTGCGGACAATGTTAAATTCAAATTTAGCTCAGATGTACAAACCAACAGCTAACTTAACGATTGATGAACAGATTTATCTATACCGTGGTCGTACTGGATTTACTCAGTATATTCCATCGAAACCAGCTAAGTATGGTATAAAGATCTGGTAGATTTGTGATGCAGAAAATGCATAATCTTTGCAAGGGATCATGTGCACTAGTAAAACAGATAATACTCGAGAAAAATATTAGGGTGAAAGAGTAGTGAAAGAATTAGCGGCTCCGTATCGAGGTAGTTCTAGAAACATCTGCATGGATAACTCCTTTACTACTGTACCAGTAACTAAACATTTGTTGTGGAATATTATCATTGTTGGCACGCTAAAAAATAATAATCCTTACATCCCTAGTGTAATGGGAGCGAATAAGACACGGGAGCAGTATTCGACAGTTTTTGAATTTCACGAAAAGGTTATCATGTGTTCCTACGTTCCAGAGACCAGACATTTCAGGTGCAATCCCTCAAATCCTTAATCCGTTTGCCGTGGTCGTCATCAAAGGGGAGTCTCTCATCCGATGCTGTTGATTAGTTTTCATTGGTACTGTTTTTTACGTGGCGGGTCTCAAACCTAGCGCACAACAATTTGGAGGGGATGTTTCGCCTTCCTACTTTAGTTCGCCTTCAGACGGATGTTCTTAGGCTACCCAGAAGGTACTTGGTCAAAGACCGGAAGTCGTGAGCTGCTTGAGCCATATGTAAAAGAATCCTGGTCTAGAGAAATATAAAACCGGAAGGAAAAAAGTAACATGATCTTGTCATGTCTGCAATGCTTTGCCAATAAGAAGACGGCGAAAGACGCGGAAGGCCTGTGCCAATTGTCACCAACCTGCTTTTGACGAGCACTCAGTTAATCGTGTATAATGTGTTCAATGTCATTAAATAAAAAAAAGTGTAATATGTCTTTATTTTTTTCTTCACATAAATACACCGCGCTGGGTACCCGAGTGGTCGGTTATTAACAGAAGGGTTAACTTATCTTCTATTTAAACTAAAAAAACGAAGATAAGTTAAGTTTGAACATAAGTAAAATTGTTTGGTCAAAACCACTTTTTTAAATAATTTAGAATTTTACACTTGTTTTTGAAATTTTCTAGTTTAACTTTAACATGAGTTATTAACAAATATAAATTTTTTTAAATTTTTTGTTTCGGATAGAAATTGCGACCTGCATACTGCCCGCCGTCCGACAAATGTACATAAATGCATCAGGCAATTGCTTCCTAAAGGCAGAATATCAAAGATTTCGTATCCAACCAATTTTCGGATGCTGCTTAAATATATAACTATAAACTCTAAAAAAAACTCACAAAAAAAACTATTTTTTATTCTCATGTTTTCTCCTATAGGAATAAAGATTAATTCGTAACAATAAAATAGCTTGATTTCTTATCTTACATTTCAAATCTGTGAGCGACTATCTTCTTGCTTTGTTTCTGACCGCAAAACCGATAAAATTGGTTTCCGTGACACCCAAAACCGATACAAATTCTGTTTCGACTATCAAACCAATAATATCTGAATTCATAACACCTACTGCTTTTGTTGATCGGTTTCAATTCTGGGGCCCTATTCTATATCTCGATTCGTAAATGTAATATATTAGAAATTCGGATCTACTTTATAAATATGTTAAAGTTGTACCATCCTGTGCCAGAATAAATACGTACAATTTTCGTTTTTGCTTTTTACAACTCAAAAGCTAACGAATATTTTATTCGAAAATTGGCTCGAAAATCCGAAAATCGAGTTACAGAATATAAAAAATATCAAAGTCGCTACTATCTCTTAGCTCCTGTTGGCAAGAGTTTTCCTGCGTTGAATTTGCAGGTTAACGTTGTTGGAGGTGTTTACACTGGTTCCAAGATAGACGAAATTATCTACGACTTCAAAGTGTTCACTGTCAACAGCGATGTGAGACCCAAGTCGGGCGTGCGGCGACTGTTTGTTTGATGACAGGAGATATTTCGTCTTGCCCTCGTTCACTGCCAGACCCATTTG